TATCTTATCCTCATGGCAGCATTGCCACTCATGTAGTTAATAACTGAAGCTGTATGTGCATTGTGAATGCAGTTCTCAAAGAGGATCTGTGCCAGTACACCAGAGCTGCTTTTTTAATCTTCCATCTTGCTGTCAAAGAACCAAAGGTATTTAAAAAAGTCTTAAAAAGCTTGATGAAAGAAGCTGAAGTAAGAGAACTGGGCTTCCTGATTCCCCAAACAGTGTTTTTCTCTCAAGCACAGAGTTGGGTTGGGTGGCATCCACTTCACTTGGCGTCCACCTGTGTGCACCATGCTGTCGTGGTGAGGATGTGTGCAACTGCTAACACCAACCGTTACATGTCCACCGTCGGCCTCATGGTGTCAAGGCAAGACTTCCTAGTTGAAACAGACCTCAGAATACACCAGCTCAGTAACCTTGATGGGATTGCAGACCTTGGTATTTTCCAACACCTCCTCCTAGCGAAACCTGACATCTCTTGCTTCTCTATCTTGTTCTGTTTTCCGGAGTTCTGTGGTCTGGGTCATGCATATGTTTTTGATCTCTTCCAGTCTAGTAGGGTCATTTAACACACACGTATGAGAGAAGTTTTGTCCTGTTTGCTGAAGATTGACTTACTGTCATCGCACATGGGCCCAGCACCAGGAGACTATTTGTTGCTTCACCATCATTTTCTGTCTCTAGACAGCCTAGGCCTTCTGGCTGAGGGCTTTTGGAGGCTGCAGCCTTCAAGCAGAACTTCGTCTTTCCCAACAAGCCTCCAATTGCTGGCGTTTCGCCATTGGTGTCTAATACTCAAAGTGATAGAAAATAAGGTTACCTGAACAGAGCAAAATCTGGAGATAGAATCCAGAATTGAACAGAAAAGTAATATAAATGGGCTACGTCAAAATACGCTGTTTATTATGAGCCGTCATGAGGGAAAAAGGTGGAAAAAACAGCAGTGTGTGAGAAGCTACCACCCTTTGACCGCTGTAGTGGTCAGCTTTTGTTAAGCATCTGATTTGATGTGAGTTGATGCCACTGGATACTCCCCGTTTAGTTCAGTGAAAGGTAGTTTAGATACTCAGTTCACAACTCTCTAGTTCTCACTCTTCTCTTAAACTGTCCCTCTTTATCCACAAGTGTGTGACACACACGGATTTAAGATCTGATTTTTTTTTTTTAAAGGGATATTGAGTATTTTAGCAGTACTCAGCAACTCAAAGAATTAGACTTGAAATAACTAAACTTTTCATCAAAGAGAATGCCATGTGCTTTAGGAAGTGATAAACATTTTATGTGGCGGAAAGGCAGGTAAAAGAGTTCAGTTAGCTTCATTCATCATCTTTTAATAGAGAAGCTTGACTTATCCAGCTGAAGACAGGTATGATATTTATTTTGCTTAGCCTTAAGAACTTTGACACCAAGCCAAAGGATCGACCCTTTTGTCTCCTACTTAAAAATGCTTTAAAGGAACAAATATTCAATAGAACAATAACTTTTATGTTGGGCCTGTTACAGATTTGTGCTTTTAAAAAACAAAAATGCAGGGCAGCTTTTGAGTGCAGTTAAACCCTAACAACCAGCAAGTCCTGTTCTGATAATGCTTCTAAGATGCATTTGTTGGTGGGTTCATGACTGCCTTGTTACTGTCAGCTGCTCTGAGCAATGCTTGTGTCAGATACTTTGGCACGTTCCTACCAGTGTCTTCCATTTTGAAATTCAGATGCTGTTTTGCAACAAGCTGCCTACATACAGCAAACATAGTTTGTGATTCTTTTTTATGTATATTCTGCAGCTGGTTGTCGAAGTCAAGAGTAGGACTGGATATTTGCTTCTCTTTTTCTCTCTCCTTTTTCCTTTTTTTTTAGCTATGAAATATGTTGCATGAGGCCCCATTTCTTACAAATAGATTCTTCAACGCTGGTGAACAAAAGTTTATTTATTTGCCTTCTTTCTGGAAGAAGGCTTTGTTGTGTGCTGAAAACAAAAGCTGATCAGATATGAATCTCTTCTAATCTGTGTTGATGATAAATAGCCTTGAAGCTTTTTTGTCTAGAATTTCCACTTGTAATTTACTTTTGTGAATATTGAAATAGTTGATGCTTTTGCTCCCATTTTCTTCAAGCATGTGAGAACTTGTTTCTTCTACAGAAAGCAAAGTTATTCCTCAGATTTTGGTGGTGATAAACATGAATCAGGCTCATCAGACAGGAAATTGTTGAATTGTGTTGTTCTGCTGCTTCTCACTTGATCCTCTGCATATCCTCTGTGTGAGGGCACAAGAGGTGGAGGCCACAAACTGCCTTCCCTTCCCTGACAATGGACAGAACGTGGCAACTGTCTCCTTCATCCTAGCTTCAAGTACACTTCAAATAACCACAGACATCACCTCCTTGAAGCTTTGTATCCTCAAACCATGTCTTATCCTATTTTATCCTTTCCTAGATCCCACAGAAGATTTCTTGAACGTGGGCAAAGCTCCTCAAACTTACTGGCTCTGAGGTGTGCTGGGCCATGCAGGCTGAGATATAACAAGCCATCCTTTTTTAAGAAGAAAAATCTATGGTCCTTTTCTTTCAGGAACTGCTCCTGCCTAAGAACTACTACTTTCGTCTTTTGAAGTAATCTATAAAAGTCTTAGATTTTGTCTCTGACAAGAACTTTTTAACAACTAGTACCAAAATACCGTTAATTCATTTCAGGAGCTTTTTGTCTGCCTAAGCTGGAGGTTGATGTTGCAAGTTGAGGTGCCAACAAGTGCAACAGCGGTAGAGAAGACATCAAATTCTATGAAGTGGGAAGCTGACTTGCTCTGGCCTGTAGGGAATGACATATCCTGGTGCACGACAACCTCGTACTTTCCACTGCTGCTTTTCTATCCCTCTGCAGGCAGCCTTTTGTCAGCAGGGCTCACTCGCAGCAGCAGTGTCGTCGCTGAGTTGAGGATGTGCAGGGAGTGTTGGGTGAAGAGTTGTCCTTCCCAGTGCTGTCTACACTTGCCTCAAATACAAGAAAATGAAGAACTGGCTGTCTCAGATCCAGGACAGGGATGGTCTTGGTGTGCTCCCAAATATAAAACTGGTCCAGGGCTGGTTCGCATGTCCTGTAAATGGCAAGAAGTCAGAGCTTCCTTTAAACTCCTTAGGTAAAACCCACTGACAGCCGTGCCTACATGTCTGGAGCTTTAAGGTGCTGTGACAGTATGTAGGAGTGTTATGCTGTTTGCTGGACTTAATTTCTGTCCTTTACTGCTGTGGTTGAAGTGGAGTACTGATTTGTCCAGACCCCATGCGGACAGAAAGGTTATGGTCTTACCTTGTGTGTGAAACTCAATCCAGTGGCTGGGCTCTCCTATCTCTCTTCCCTCTCGGACCATGATTCCTGCCATGCATGCTTCAGAAATGATGCACCAACTCCACCAGTTTCAGAGGCAAAGGATACGGTCCCAAAATGATTTTTAAATAATTTGACACTCGCCTGCTGTGAGACACCCCACCTAAGTGGTGGGGTGTTCACGTGTAGTCAGCAGCTCTCCACAGTGCAAATACTGACAGAAGTTAGAACAGATACTAAAAGGCAGACTTTTACTCCCTTTGTTTCCCTTAAATGTAACAAATATGAGTATCCATTTCCTGGAATGAGAGAGCCTGGTATTATGCTTGTGTTCTTGGCAAAAATTTCCTGTACCAAATTTGCTTTCTGGCCAGAATGTGTGGTCCAGCAGAGCCCAGGCCTTTCCTTTCAGATGGTCTCTCAGCTCAGTTATTTTTAAGAGCATGGGATCACCCTCATATATACAACAAATACTTGGCTGCTGGAAACCCAGTGTTTCACAGATGAGTAATAGTTGGAGAACGACACATTTTCATGTTTCAGAGATGGTTTCACACAATTCTAATTGTGATTTAATAGCCCTTTGACAGTAAAATCTGCCTAGGGTGAAATAAGAGATGGCACATCAGGAGAATGCTATCAGATGTCTGAGAAATGTATTTCTATAAAGGCAGAGGTCAGAAATAAGAAGAAAAGGGCAGTCATGGTAAAACGTGGGGTTCCCATGTTAGCTTAAAACATGGTCTGGTTCTGTTACTCTTCGAACAGCAGCAATGTGAAACAAGTGCTTCAGGTCTTGTCCAGTCCTCTCCTTCCCTGTGCATGGTTACTCCTAGCCTCCCTCCTTCCATCCGCTGTTCCGACTCCTGTTCCTCCCCGATGTACTGGGGTGGCCATGCAGTGGTACACTCAGTATGGAGGGTGCAACTCATATTTGCCAGTGTGAACGTCCTCCGCTATTAGGAATAGAAGTGTGATCATTTGTTTGCAAGTCTTGAATGTATTTCTGGAGGGCATATGTGTGTGAAGAGATGATTTAAATTTCTCAAATTTGGCTTATTTTCAGAAAAATAAGATTTCAGATTGGAATTTTACTCTGGACATCGTGGTTCTTTCAACAGCACTGAGTACTTATTTCAGACTGACTGTCACTGAAGTGGCGTAGTGATGGGTCTTGTCAGGCCTGGATCCAGCTGTGGCTTGGCCTGATGGGCACACAGCTGTTTCACTGCCACGTGACTGCCTGGTTGCACGTGTGCTCTTTGGTCTGCGGAGGGGAGGAAACGGGACTTTGTTTCCCTAAGACCTCTGCTCCTCTTGTTATTTCTGTCCCTGTGTGTTGCTGGTGGCTACCAAAGAAAATGGCTGGTAGAAAACTGGAAATATAATGCCTTCTCTATTTGTAGAGAAACCATTTCCAGAGGTTTAGACCAGGTTAAAACTTAGCATATTTTGTAAGTTAAATTGGTGTATTAATTGATAATCTTCCTCTCAGAGAACTTGATTTCAGTCTTAAAATGCAATCAGTGTCATCTCCAAGAAGTGCTCTCACTTTTTAGCAAGTTCTGTGGTAGTGGTTGTTATACTTTGTATATGTCAACATAATGTCATCTGTATGATGCTCCTGAGCAGGTAAAGCTGCTCTTCTGATTTTTAGTTATTCTTGAATTTTGTTTCAGGACATAACTTGGCAAGATGAACATTCAGCTCCATTCTCCTGGGAAACAAAGGTAAATATGCAACAATTTTATTTTAACCAAACAAGAATTGGTTTGTCATTTTATACTGTTCCTTGTGCATTTATATTTTCTTCATTTTGAGGCGTGATAGACTGTTGTCGTCTTTATTCTATGAGAGCTGTGTAAAGTGACCGTCCTGCAAATGAAACGGGACTGCTGTGCTTTGATTTGCATCAACAGAAACACAAAATGTACTTCATGAACTAATGTTCTGGCATCAAGTGCAGGTGTAAAACTGATTCAGTACAAATTATTTGTTTTTTTCATTGTGAGCTTTTTAAACAACTTTCCATCTTTAGCAAGACCTAGCAAGTGCCTTAGATCCCGTATAAACATAACTGCATTTCACTTTTGAAGTCAGGAGTAAAGTAGCTAGAAAATGGGGTGAGAAAGGTACAGATATCTGATAACTTCACTGGATTCTTTCTTAAAGCCTGTTTTACGCTTCATCTTTTTTTTTTTTTTTATGTACTAGAATGTCATAAAACTTATTAACGTGGAGCTATGCTAGAAGGATGATGTTATTTCCTCTCCAAAAGGCAGCTCCTTCAAAAAATAATGCATTTTTCTGTGGGGGGTTGGATTTGGGTTTGGGGTTTTTTTCTTCCCTTGCTTTACCTCTGGTATTTTGTTAAAGTGTTATTTACAATGAGATTTTCGTAAGGCTAACACAGAGCCAGAGTTTTTTGTCTTTTTGAACGTGCAGTGTGAGGAAATATAGTTACGCCATATTTGTGGTGAGAAATCAAGTTAAATTCTACTTGTTGAAGAAAATCTGGGAGCAAAACCACAGCACATTGCCTTTCTCAACTGGTTATGGTGGGCATGTTAATTTAATCACATAATTTAGACTTTGTGTTTTCTGGCTTTGTCTGCCAGAGAAAGCTGCTGCTCCCCTAGGTATTCCATTTTTTGCCCTTGAACTATGGAGATAATCATGTATGAGCTTACGAATATAATCTTAGCCTAATGCAGAGTAATTATTTGGAAATGCCAGTGAATACTAAATTAATCTGGTTGACCCTATACGACTTGTCAGCCTTCCCTGCTCAAGGTCACTGCCTGTAGCTAGCACCCTGTCTGTGCTTTGCAGATGCTGATTAACCCATAACTTGATGTGACTCCTGGGCCCCTGCAGCACTGCAGTTTAAGAGAAACCAGTGCCAGTCCTCACTTGCCTTAAAACTCCCTTACAAGCTGTGGTGGTTCAGGAGCCAGCAGAGGATTTCCTGCAGTGGAAGCCTGGTTGCTCAGGCAAGCCCTCCTGTCTTTCAGGACCCTAAGAAGAGGCAGTCACTCGGTTTTAGTGTAATAATAAAGAGGCTTTTTAGCATGGGTGTACTGGGGTGAAGCTGTCAAGAAAAGAAAAGTAGTGAGAGAGGATGAACATTGACAGTAAGATGAAATAAATCACATGTTGGTGCTTTTTGCAACCCTAAAACTCCGTTTTGGGAACGTGGTAGCTGTAATCGTGTTTCTAAGCTCTGTCTTGATAGGATTTTGTAAGTTCTGAATACTTGAACTTGCAGGAGATAGTGCTTTGTGTAACGCACAGACTAGTGTCCCATGATGAGATGCATCTGCACTTCAATGGATTTTCTCCTTAGTTGATAGTTGTCTTTTCTTTTAAATGCCTCTGTATCTAGTGAAGTGTTTTTTTGACCTGGCCTGTGATTTTTCCCTTGATGATTAAGACTATTTTTACTCTCTTCCTGGTGTCTCAAAATGAGGGATCACAATAGATGGATGATCAAGTTTCATGCTTTTCTGTAAAGAATGGAGGATCACAGAATGATATGGGAACACTCATGTATGACTGCTGAAGAAAAGTGAGCTGGGGAGAAGGTTGTTTGAGAAATAATTGTCTCAGGTCATCAAGCTGTGCTTACTTCTTTCCTGCCCCTTGCTGACCAGAGATAAAAGATGCGCCTCAGCTGTAGGTTGAAAAGTTGTATCACCTTTTCCTTTAGCAGAACTCTAGAGAATCCCTTTTGTCCAGCTTTACGAGGTGTGGGTTGGTTGGTTTGTGTGGGTTCTCCCTTCTGGGTTTTCCCCAGTGCCTGGTGTTGTTGTCAGTCTTTCAGCCAAATCCTTCAACTGCTGAGTCTTCCATTTCTAAAGGTGGAGATCTTGCTTTGCGCTTTCTCTTTGATCTCTTCCTTAACCAGTACTTTAATAAGATAATACTGGAAGGCAATTTCTCCATGAGGTACCAGCTGAAGAAGTATTGTTGCCCAATTGATCTAGCATGGGGAAACAGTGAAGAAACCTGCATGAGCTGTTTAATAAGGTTGACATGTTGTAATGCACATTTGGTGCCTTGTGAGCCAGATCTGTTCCCACTGTTATTTCAGGCTGTCAGGCTCTTTCCATTCCACGAGCTCTACTCCATGATGGATCATTCTTTCCATTATATTCTTTTCCCTGCTCTCCCTTTAATGCAGAGTTTTTGGTTTCATTTGGTTTTTGGCATGTTACTGCCGTGATGACGAAATGTCTTCTTTCTTTCGCAGCTTTGCATGAGTGTGCCCTGGCTTACCCAAGGAAGGGAAGGTGGTGTTCACTTTCAGCTTTTGCAGAGAAGGAGAAAGTAGAGATGTAAATCTGTAAAAACCAATAGCCTTTTTTTTTTTTTTAACATTGACACTAAGAAAAATAAAGCAGCAAAATTGATATTTTTCTGTACTAACTTCAGGAAAACTGAGAAGATAGTGAGGAGACTAAAGAAGAGGAGAGGACGTGTTTTCTGCAAGATGGGAGCCTCTCTCAGGTGTTACAATGATGCCAGTGGTGATTCCAGTTGATTAGATATGGACAATTTTTTCTCCCGGTAGCTAGCTCAATGGATTCCCTAATTCCATGGCTGTCAAACTTACCCGGAGAACAGTGTACTAAATTGCTGCCATTTTGGGCAGAACATTGCTGAAGGGCTTGATAACTTCACTTCCGTCAAAAGTAAACTTTTTGACACAAATGTGAAATATGGCTTAAGTCGTTCCTATCACAGCAAACACTTCAATGAATATTCCCACCTGTTTGGTGTCTAAAGTTCTTGTCTTAAGCAAGACAAGAACTGTTTATTTTTAAACCTTCAAACAAGGCAAACAAAGCAGAATTACAATGTAAATTGCTGTTAGCTGTTAACATTTAAAATACTATTTTTTTTTTAGTGGAAAACTGTAGCACTTCTCAGAAGCAAAGCTACTGAGGAAGCAACAAGTTCTCATGGCACTGCAAATAAGCAGACATTTTAAAACTAGGGATTGAATTGGAGGGAGTGATTTGGTTCATGGGTGGAGTCCTCATGAACATAACATCTTGAAATGTGGGTTACATTTTTAACTGGAGCTAAAGCCAGGTTTATGAATTTAGGGCATTCTATTTATGGCTTCAGGTTTAAGTGAGATGAAAGCTGACATTTTGGCTGAGTTTAGCCTTTGAGGTTTCTTGGTTTGTTTGAAGTAAAAATTCAGTGAAACTCAGCACAGACTCCAAGATATAAATGGAAAACAAGAGTCATGCCTGGGTTTGGAAGTAGAGTTTCTCTGCAACTTTTCCTGAACTCAGAACCTTCTGGTTGTGGTGTGTGTGGGTTGGTTTGGGTTTTTTCAATTAATTTAGTAGTGGGCAGAAAATATGATTTCAGTCTGCCACCTCAGCTAACACGTTGAATGTACAGAGTAGCACGGGAATAAGTTGGAATCTATTTTTAATTCATGCTCTTAACTAAAATAGGTTTTATTCCAAATGCTTAAAATTGACACACGCACATCTAAAAACTTGTTAGAGGTAGAATAGTTCGAACAGTAGCTTTAGAGAGTCCTTTCTCTACTTTTTTCTTTTCAACTTCTGGCATTTTCCTCCTTCAGCCCTCTTCTACTTTCAACAGGCCCTCAGATATTTGTTGAAAAGAGAAGCCTTCAAGGTGTGTTTAAAAACAAACAAACCAAAAAAGCAAAAAGATAGTGTCAAACTTCAGTCCTTTCAATAATCTGGTTGCTTCCTCCCTGTCTGAATTCCCTAATTACGTGGCTGCAGAAGTGGTCTAATCCCAGTGATGATTTAGAAAGAAAAAAATTGTTGTGCTTCTGAAAAACGTGGTTTGCAAACTGTTTCCTTTATCTAAAACTAAAAGACAGGCTTCGATATCCTTCCTTGTACAAGTCCTAGTTGGTTTTGTGTTTTGATTTGTTTTTTTACATAGGAAGAAAGTGACAGAAAATACTTTTCTTTTCCCCCCCTACTTCCTTAGCAGCCTGATATTAGAATTGTTACAAACTATACTTCGGTGTAATTATATTTATCAAGCTGGCATAAATGTTTCCTTGGAAGGAAAGAAGAGTGATGTCTGAGATTTTGAGTTTTCCCTTCCCTTTTGGATCTAGACTACAGACGTTTAAAACACAATGCTGTAAGACTACTGTTGACTATTAGTTCTTGAGGAAAAAAACAACTTGTGGTAGTAGTAGCTGTATTCAAAGTTTATTTTAATCTGCATGGCAAGATGTTCTCAGCTAAGGGTTCAATTAGCTTAGGTTGTTCAATTAGAGAACAACCTGCATCAATCTTTAGACAGTTGGTTTTGATCCTAAAACCATGCACATACCAGATACTGTCAGTAAGAGTTTGCTCAGGCTAATCAGTAACAGTGGCAGACTAGAATGCTGTTCAGATCACCGAAGAGTAGACCGTGAAATTTCATCTGAAGCTCTATGCTATATATCTTTGGTGGTGTCCTTCCATCTGAACTAAAATTACTTAGTGCTTTGCTCTATCTTTGCCCTTGCAATTGGTCTCTGCTGACCTAAGGATTTCTTTCTAACTCTGAAAAGATCCTGAAACACCCACGATGTGCACAGGAAACAAAGGAAAAACTGCAGCTACTTTGAGTCTTATGTTTATTTTGGTTTTGTCCATTCAGCAAAGCAAATTAATCTTCTAAATTATTTTAAACTTGGCTTTCTTACCTCTGCATATATCAGGCTGTGCTTAGAACAAGTTGCTTTTGACAGTGTTTCTGCAGTCTTTGTCTCAACAATTTGGATTTTTCAGGCTGCCAAGCAAAACAATTTGTTTTGGCTGTGTTTGCCTGACTGTTTAGTAAAATACTACACATTCCTGATGAGTGAATAAGTTGCTTGAAAAAAAAAAAAGCTCCTGGGTTCTTTGTGGTCATCTTCTTTTTAATATAGACTTACGAACCTGATTTTATACATTACATTCATAGTGTATTTCCCATGAGTATATACAGTGAGTGTTATGATTTGGTGGATTATCCCTGCCTTGAGACTGAAGTTGGGTCTAAATTTTTTAATCCAATAAAGAAAATTCCTAAATACCTTAATATGGTCTTTTTAAGGTAAGATGGACATGCAGCTTCCTGAAAACTGCAATTTTTTGAATTACTTGTCTTTATTAGACAGAAAGATGATCCAAGACCTAGGCATCCGTTACTTTAACCCGTGCAGTAGCTTGGGACCAGAAGATGAAGACTGAAAAGAACACGGACTTCTCGGTTTGCTCTGCCTCAAGATACTACTTTGTGTGTGCTTTTGCATGCACTCTCTCTCTCTCCCTCTCTCTCTTATTGTGTTGAGAATGACTTGCTTTTGCGTTATCTTGAAAATATTACTGGTTTTAATAGCTTTTATTTGAATTCTGACAACTTCTAGAAATTGCGGCTGGGACTCTACTAGCCTGCCCGTAAACTCTTGAGACTTTCTGGGTTGAACAGTTCCCAGAAATACAGTTTGGACAAATGGTAGGAAAAAGAAAGTATTTTTATTTTATTCCTTAGATGGGGAATTAAAGTACGGAAACTGCAGCTCATTCAAAGTCATACAAAATCTATGACAGCAGCTGGGGACTGAATCCCTGTCTCTAGAACCCCGAACTGTGCCTAAGTGACAGTTCACTTTTGACCCTCAAATCCTATGGCAGCGTTCAGCGTTTGCTTCCCTGAGGTGGCAGCTGGTAGAGTGCCACAATCGCAGCTCTGCTGCTGGATGCTCCAGGGTGCAACTGCAGCTCACAGCAGCTCTGCCTCAGCCCGAGGAGAGTGAACACGCGGCATGGCCATTTTCGGTCTAGCTGCTACCTGGGGGTAGTCTGACTGGGGCCAGGAGAGATGTGCATCAAGATATTCTCACGGCTGACAAACCTAAAGGAAAAGGAAATGGGTTTTTTTTTAGGGGTAACTGTCTTTTTAAAATGTCGTTTCCTTCCCTCTCCTACTGACCCAGTCAATTGCCAATTTGCAATCTGATGTAAGAAATTTGGAGCAGGACACTGATTCAACTCACGTTTCTAGTGTCTAGTGATTCGTTGGAACGTACAGTACTACTCGTGACTTGGGTGTCAGCATGGGGTGTTTCACACATGGATCTTCTCCATCTCTACGTGAAATTATCTCCCTACTTATACTGCTGCTCTGTTGTTGGGGTTTTTTTGGGAGGAGGGTGTTTATGGTACTTTATTGCCAATTTTGTGACTTGAAAGATATTGCATATTAATTTTCTTTCATCAGCGACATTTCGTAGGGGTTTAGATGTCTCAAGTAACCTTGAAAGTCAAATAGAAGCGTTACATATTTCAAGGAAAATGCAATAACTTGTGACTGTTCCACAGAAGTTCTTGGCTTCTTGAGCTAAATGCTAGAAGCAGAATTATACATCTGACCTCTTGGGGCTGCATTTACATCATGCTGAGATGCAGTGCTTTCAGAACCTGTTGGGGTAGTCTTGTCTTCTTTGTCTTCCTTGGGGGAGAAAGCAAGCTCCTTAAGAAGTATTTTCATTCAGATTATTCTGTGTCAGGATATGAACTGTTTGATCTCCAAAGCATACTGTGACATAAATACGCAGTCTTAAATGTCGGGTGGTCCTGTGTTCTGAATTGGAAAGGTACACCCCACCGTCTCTGTTTGAAAAGGACGAAGAGGGCATCCTGTCCAGAACATGCATCCACGAGCGGGTTGGAAAGGGTGTGACTGCCTGGAGTTGTGCTGCAGTGCCACGCTCTTCTCTACACTAGAAACAGTCTGCAGCTTCCAAAACAGACCTCTGAGCTGATATTTGGGCCCATGCAAAAGAATATAAAACACAACCACAGGCAGTGGCTTTTGCTCCACAGCATAAGGACTTCCCAGGAGGCCTGGCTTTGCTTGTCTGTCTTGCTGCTGTTGAAAGGCAAAGCCATCTTACTGGTTTTCCTTTTTCTAATTTTTGTTCTAACAGACCTCTGCTTCCCTTCCATAAGTATTTTTCCTAGATTTTGTTTCCAGCAGTATTCTGGTGGATCTGGGGCTGTGATGGCCCCTCTGCCCTCTAGCACTGACCTTCCCCCTCTCTTGGGCTGGGGGGTGAAGGAATCATTTTACTGAAACTGACTGCTGCTGTGGTGGCCTTCAGCTACTGTCATCTCTAGTGGGAGCCCTGGGACAGGCCACTGAAGAAGGAAGACTGTTGAAGGATAAAAAGTAGCATTGTTTTAATTCCTACATGGCAAGGTACTTAAGTCTTCCAAGATGCAATTTTTTTTTCCCCCCTTGGATATTGGGGAAATGCAGGTCTATTTTATATTGTGTTACGTTTTTTTTTTTAAGCTGGGATTTTATCATTTCTGAAGTCTTAAAGCATCTTAACTTCAGGGTGGTAAATCTCTATTCAGTAGTATTGCCAAATGAGCTTAGGGAAATAAATCCCTGTATTTTAATATAGGCAATGGCAGTCACTGTAGATAATCCTCAACACCATTGCATCCACAGTTTGTTTATGCAGAATTTATCTAAGGAAGAATCTCCTGCTCTTAACTTTACATCATAACTTTTGCTTAAAAAAATAGTAATTGGAGCATGAAGTTTTTTTGCTCTTAGTATTTTACAGGCAGAGTGGGATGTTGAGCTGTTTGGGTGGAGTTGCACGTATCCTTGCACTCACCTTATTCTGTCTGAGCTGTAATTACTTACAGCTTGTTTATGTTCTGCATCTTTTGATAACACAATATATTCTGAATGAAAACACGGAACTTGGTGCTTCCTTGCCTATAACCTTGGAAAAATATCTAATAAATTTAATTCTTTAGAAAGGTCAGATGTTAGTCTATGAATCAAATTATGTGTAGACAGCTGCTGACCGTTTGAAAAAAAAATATTTATAAATAATCAGGTGCTGAGTTAACATTTGCACTTTGATGAGGAGTTTCTGGATATTAAGTACTAGGCGTGTGAGACCTGCTAGATCTAGAGTCCCTTTGAACTTAACATGCACAATAATGTAGAACGTGAGATCAAACACTTCCAGTGAAAACGATATGCAACTGGGACTTGGTTTAGACTCAGGCCCATAGATGCTATTGTGGTTTTATTTGTAAAAGGCCAGGTGATGAAGCAGAACGGGGAAAACATCACAAATCTGTAACGAACTTCAAAAGTATCTATTAATGGCTTGTAGCAAAAGCTACTATTTGAAATGTCCTCTGAATTTTTTCAAAACTAATCAGGCCCATAATGACAACAGTGTAGCTCTATCAGTAAATATTTGCATTGTTTGTTCCATTTTACAAATGAAAGTCTAGTCCTTAGCTTGTTCTTTTGTGGCACTTGCCTTGGTGCTGTGCTCCCAGATACAGCTCAGCTTACATGTTCCTCAGAATGAAATAAAGCTTAGCTTTTGTTAGCCTGAAGAGTGCCCAGCTAGTTGTCGATCAAGATTACTGAAGTGGTGGTAAGTAAAATGCACATTTTGAAGTACTCTTTGCTTTTGGGTGGCTTTTGCAAGATCTGGATCGTGCTTTAAGTGTAGTCACTTGTTTCCTTGACCCAGTGTTACCCCTCAGAAATAAGTATGGCTATCTGCCCTGCAAGTAAAAGCAAAACAAGACTCTGGAATAAGTGAAGAATTGGTCCTGCTGGAGTTGTTTCTCTTCCTTCAGAGGGGCATTGGAATTGTAAAAAACACTTATCTATGCATACCCATTACATCTATAATGGAAGATTGCCTTTTAAACTATGCTGTAAAGCTTTTTTTGCTTTATATTTTCATGTAAAACATCTATGGCTTTCAAAATGCATCCACAACTGTTCCAATGTTTTAGTGCTGTGCCTGCTATATACACTGCTGTCTTGGATGGCACTGAGTAACTCAAATATTGTTGCTTTCTCTGGCTTCTCTGCAGCAGGTCTAGGACTTATGTGCTTGCAGTTCAAACTTTTAAAAATTATTATTTTTACGTAGCTACAAAGATGTTTGTAGAGAAAATAAGTTAGTTTTGCTGTGGTTATCTACTCTCTGGGAGTTGCCTATCTGTGGGCAAAGGCGTTATCTGTGTGCATCAAGATCAGAAGTTCAAAACTGTCTTTGTGAAGGGCTTTGAAATGCTTTTTTTTCTTAAACTTTGAACAGAGTCAGATGGAGTTCAGTGTTGCATCTCTGTCCATACAAGAACAAGGTGGTGCCCAGTTGCAAAATGAACAGAGGCAGCCCGTTAAAGCAGCACCTGGTGTCCAAGTCTCTAAATCTTCTCAGGCCAATAAGACCTCTGGCTCTGATGGGTTGATAGCATCAAGAAAGGAAGAAGAGTCGTCTTTCTGGAAGATAAATGCAGAGCGCTCAAAGTTTGAAGGAGACAAGTCTGATTTCCAGTCCCTGACCCCTAGCCAGATCAAGTCCATGGAGAAAGGGGAGAAACCCCTCCCCTCTTTTTACAGACAAGAGTCTGCTCCAAAGGAGATGGCAAAAGCTGAGAAGCCCGGCATAACTAAACCAGAGAAGTCTGTTGCCCCCAGCCTACCTTCTGTATCTCTTGAATGGGAGAAACCTCGACCCACTCAACTCCCTGCTAGTTCTCTAGATGACTTCTTTCTTCCTGACCCACCACGGGACCTGGCATCTTCTAGGACGAACAAGGAAGATACTGATGGTACTATACTTACAGATCCACAAATGCCTGGACAGGTAAGGACTGCCATATTCACTGTCCTTAGATTTAAAAACCGTATACCACATCAAAATCTGACAAGGCCGCTCTGGAAGATTAGGGACTCCATAAAGCATTACCCCATAGCTAAGCTTGCTGGTTTTTTTTATCCTGAAAATTTGAAGAAGTCTGTTTAACTAACATGTTAACTGCTATTGTTTGTTTCAATCAAAGTATTTTTTAATGTTGTAAACTGCATAGGATAAGGGCATCGTTTAAGTATAATACCAGAAATGCTGACATGTCATCCAGTGGCTGACAGCAAGCTACCTAACAGTTGGGGGTAAAGAGCTTGCTGTATCAAGTAAAATAGGTTTGTTTGGTTTTTTCCCTTGAAAAAGCAAAACGCTTAATGTAAAAAAGAAGTTTTTTAACTCGAAAAGTAGATAAACTAGAGCCTAGGGTACTTTATTGGTACACACAGCATCACAGTGAATGGCAAACTGGTTTCTCAGCTGCTTTAAGCAGTAGCCCAGCAGCTACTTCCCACTGCTTTGTCCCAGGCAGCCAGGCTGCTTTCAAATGTGTTTTCTCTTAAAGTCCAAAATGGAAATGGAATGAGCTTCCAGAATTAGCCTTCTCAATGTTTTTTTTTTAATAAAAAAACCCAAACAACCCAACAATAAAAAATAACCTTAAGCAGCTCAACAGCCAGTTGAAGCTATTTAAAAAGCTGAAGCTGGTCTGTGAGAAAAGAAACGGAACAACAGGCTATGACATGGTGAGGGAAAGAAAAGGAAGAGATCTGAAGCCTGAAAACTGAAATAGAGAAGAGGAGTGATTCTTCAAACAGAGCTGTGCAGTTCTGCTTGGGATCTGTAGCATCGCTCTGGCATAAGCTTTGACATATTACTGTGCACCTTAAGTAGGTCGCATAGCTTTTTCTCTGCCATGTTTTCCCAACAGTGATTGTTTAAATTCCAGACAAGATGACATAAGGTCAGAAAGATGCAGTATGAGGTAAATACTTGCAAGAGAAGTAAGTGGCAGCACTTCAGAGAGAACAATACTTAAGCTACTTCAGTATTTGGAGCCCTTTGTTGAGTTACTTTTTTCTGAAGCTAAGACATAATGCTTCTTGAGCTGTTTTGCTACAAATTTTGACCGCAGTAGTCCTTTAATTTTAGTTTAAGGCTTTATCATGTTTTCCTACAAATTAATGGTTTGTTACACTTTTAATTCCTTTGTGAATGTTTTCTAGCTAACTGAGATAGTTTGAAAAGCCTGGGTTTTCTCTCTGTGGAGGAACAATCCTCACACATCAAAAATGTGAACAGGGTAGCAGAGAAAGTAGTATGATAGTATGAATTTTCTTCATTTCCTCTCTTCTGGATTGTCTTTCCTGTTCTGGGACAGAGCCATGCTCTAGGAAGAGAGTCCAGAGACTCAGCTGTGACCCTTGAATAGTTTTCCTGAACACCAAACTAAAATCACCTTAAACGTCTTGGCTAAAAGTGCAGCTCTGCAGGAGTGAGAATGGTCGTGATAGCCTAGTAAATAACTTGTCAACAAAGTTTAAACTGTTTAGTTTTTGGGCTGTCACTGCAACAGGCAATCCATTGAATTAGTGATGCTTACATTCGGCGTTTGTTCCATTCTCTGCAATTCCTACTCTAGTCTAAAAATTGACCTTTATGAATTTTACCGTGGGGAAACACTAACATTTTACCTGCAGACCACTACAAGAATTTTATTTTTATCTGGAATTGCCTTTTTGGTCATTATGAGTATTTGCCCATGTCTGGCATTTTCTGGTGTAGATTCTTAGGTATCCTAGAGCAAGGTGAGGAACTTGGAATATTGGCAGGCAACATTTTAAACTTTCTTTTGTAGATAGGCAGTCAAGTACTGAGCTTGTAATACCATAATTAACAACCAGATCTTATTTCTTTTTTTTCCTTGCAGACTAGTACAAGCAATGTTATCTTGAAGACTGGCTTTGATTTTCTAGACAACTGGTAAAAGATGCTTCAAAATAGATCAAAACAATTTCGGGGAAGGAGTGGAATATCTTTCTCCTTGTATATTAATTTACTAGCATTTGTGTCTTTTTCTAGAAGTAACTTTCAAATTCTTAAATGTTGCCTTTGTATAAACTTTTGTAATACCATATGCGTTTTTGTTTTTTAAACAGTGATAGAAGTGTGGTTTCGTTTGGATATTTTTTTAATATCTGTTAAAATTTTTAGTAGCTACTGTATTGAGAGGATGGGAGAAGTTAACATACACATGTTACAGAAAAACAAATGAGAGTCTCCGTATCCTGGAAATGGAACCTACAGGACCAGATTGCTGTTTTCAAACAAAACCTTGCTAGCATGGCTTGTAGGAAATAGCAGTGGTTCCAAATAAGCAAATAATTCCATACTTCAGATAACTAGGGAAAAACGGTATGAAAAATAAGCATACAAAAGAATTGCATTGAATTCTATATTTCACTTAGTTTGAAAGTAACTTTTGTACCACTTATTTGAAAACGCCTTTCCTTTGAAGAGGGCAAAAGCATCGTCAAAATAATGGATCCAAAGAAGCACTGCGTTTGTACCCTACAAATCTGCTAAAATAACACAAGAGTATGACCTAGAAAGAAGTATGAGCCACAAGAAGTATGACCCAGGGAAATGACAGATGTTTCTGGTCTTTGGCTTAAAGACTTGGGGGTGGGTGGAGGGGAACGGGACAACACCTAATGAATGAGAGAAACTGTCTTTGGGGAACCCAAGCTTAAGGATTTCACTGCCTCCCTACTAGAGCATAACTCTTCGTATTAGTGCTAGAAATACAGCACTGGGAATTGCTGGAGTGTAGATTACCTGTGTGTCAGGAAACCACTGTTTATGGGAGGTCAAAGCAGTATAAGGCTTCTTTGTTTTTTAAGCAGCTTATTGTCTCAAGGACTCATCAACTTTGGTGCTTTTTCCTCCTTGTGAGTACTTTCTCTTCAGCATTCAACATCTGGGTTACGTTTGTTCCCGAGGTGCGGAGAGGCATCTCAAGGGGGCCCGCAGCAGACTCGCCTCCAGTTCTGCTTTCGAATGATCTTTGTTTGGTGTTTAAAGTGTAGAGAACAAGACTAGCTGTCGTTTGAATCTGTCGTCTCTGAAATGCAGCATGATTTACACACTGACTCTCACTGTGTTTACCTCACCTTGAAGCCTTAATTCCCCCTACACACAGCCAGTGACTGGTCTGCTCCAATGCCAAAGGTTTGACCTTTCGCTTTACCTCAGCAATAGTCCCATAGCGTTTGTTTGGGGTAGAAGGCAAAACGCAGGGCTCTAATGGGTCTAATGGTTTCCAGCCAAGGCTATAAGAAGGTCACCATCTCCTAGACCATAATTGTGCTAGGCTTCTCATGGATTAGCACTTGACATTTGGTTCACTGCCAGGGGCAGTTTAATGTGCAGAATTGGATGCTGCAGGATTTTCTTCTGCCTGTTACAGGAAGAGTTGGAGATGTCCTGGAAGAATCCTTGCCTCTAATTGATGTGCAGCTTGCTCTGAACAAGCAGAGGATGCGGATAGAGCATTAAAACTTACTTGTTGATCAAGGTAAATGCTGTAAGCTACTCCCTTCCTCCCCAGCCCCTGCAAAAAAAAAACCACCAATCCCAAAAACTCCAGTTTTTCTAGTGTTTTCTTAAAAGGCTTCTTAGCTAAAGGGAAGATTGCCACAGAGTATAAGTCATTGCGTAGCCTTATTTGTAGACTTCTGAAAGCTTCTTTACATGCTTCCTGAGTTGTACAAACTCCTGTCATTCGTGGGTATTGTCTCTGCATTCAGCAGTTCAGAAAATACTTGTTCCTACCAGCCTGGACTTTACAGCCTGGACTTTACCTTGTTGGGTTTTGTTTTGTTTGGTTTTTTTTAGCTGACCTTTTTTAGCATTTGCTTCAAGCATCCAGCATTAATATAGCTTAGAAAAACTCTAGCACAAATTCTTTACACGTGTAATTAGCATTGACTTGTACCTTCTTTTCGAAGCTGACAAATGTTGACCCTGGGGTTTACAGTTACCAGTGGATCTAATTTTCCGTACCTTCAGCTGCTGAAGAGTTATAAATCCAACGTGAAGATGCACGTCCTAATCTTACTTTGATACGGGGAGATATGAAAGCAGTCTCCTACTGTTGAGGAGTGTTATTTTAAACCTCTGCTAAATACCTTAAAGCTTCTTAGGGAAGAGCCTGGTCTGCCTGTCTCTTCCATCGGCTAACTCGACCCTAATACACATTGGGACCAGCTGGTAGAACATGCTGCAGAACTTTTTACTTATCCTGGTAGATTTTTCCTGTGCTTTGACAAGAGTTGATGCTCCTTCTTTCTTAAATATGTTTTTATTAAACATTCTTACGAAAAAATTGTACTTGGTCACATTTTATATTAACAATGTTTTAATAAAGTCACTTTAAATAGAACATTCAAGGCTTCTGTGCTGCTTTGTGTGTTGTCCTTTATACTCTGCTTTTCTCTGTGCCATTGGAGTTGTTTGGGGCATCTTGAATCTGCCTGAGGCAGCTAAGAATGATCTGGTCTAGAATTTAGAAACTTGATTTTGCAGATCATAAAATAAAATAAATCAATATGCTGAAGCTGTTTCTCAGGCTTTTAAGTGAGGCTGTTTGGGGAAGTGTCTTTGCTTTATTATTTTGTCTGACAGCTGGGGACAGGATGAGATTTGGGACTTTATTTTATAAAGACTAAAATCTATTTGTACTTCACTGTAATAGACTTAAACCTAACACTGGCCGCACCCCCCCCAATACCTGCAGGTAATCCAAAGCAGTATCTGGATCAATCCTGCAGGAGCAATTTGAAAACTGTATGTTGTGGCTTAACCCCAGCTGGGTACTAAGCACCACGCAGCCACTCACTCCCTTCCCCCAGGCAGGATGAGGGAGAGAATCAGAAGGGTAAAAGTGAGAAAACTCATGGGTTGAGATAAAGACAGATTATTAGGTAAAGCAAAAGCTGCACACACAAGCAAAGCATAACAAGGAACTTATTCACAGCTCCCCGTTTGGTGCAGATGACCAGAACTGGCAGTGACAAACTTTCAGGCAGTTTTCCTGTCAGCTGATGGTTACGTACGGCTTTTAAAAGCATGTCACAAAAAAAAAGATGCTAGCAGAGGCCACTGGGTAGTCTCACTTTCTGCCTTTTGTCTCATGCAGCAAGTTCTCAAAGTGTAAGAAAATCAAAGGCGCAGCTACAAGGGTAGTTTTTCTTCTGCGTGCTCACATCCACTTCTTCCAGATATGTGTTTTGAAAAACAACTCAATTTGGTTTATGCTTGAGCTGAATTTCTACCAACAACTAAAAAGGCATTTGAAGAAGAATTTGGTTTGGAGGGACTCCAATTAAGGGGTGGTATTCCTACTATATTTAGGATCTGGTCTACACATAGTTTGCTTCAGTCCTGTTTAAGCTCTGTCTTAACTTTTTAAAGGCCCAGCATCTGGGCACTGTCTTGGCATGTGGTGTCAGCAGGTCTCATGACTGAATGAAGATTTGTAAAGGCAGAGTAGAAAACATGCTGGGGCTGCCTGCTGAAGGGTAACGATCAATTTATTTATTGGTGACTTCAGTCATAGTTGCTGAGGTTGAGGTCACAGCTGTGAGTGCTGGAGCAGCACCCTGTAGGCAGAGTCCTGTTGGTCGCTCAGCAACAGCATCTCCCAAAGAGCTCACAAGTCACGTCCCTGAGATACAAACCCGACTTCGTAGGCATTGTTCACAGACAGGCCCCTGGGCTTTGCTGTCCAAGTTTGCTGGTGACCCACTTGAACCAGTATGTTCTTACTGTGGGGACAAACCCATAATGTGGCTGTCCTACATTTGTGAGTTGGTGAGTTAATGCCAGTGAAAGCCTTTCAGAGCAGGTAAGCCAGGCACACCTCATTCTTCTCAAGAGGACTCTTTCTATGTTTCTATTGAAAATCTCTGTTATTGTCCCCTTTTCAAAAGTGGGCTTTACGCCTCAAAACATAATGTAACCAAGTAGTTCACAATGAGGGTTTACATCTCCATCTGACCTCCCACTGTCTGGGGAACTTTGACAGCACCCTCCAGAGTCAATGAATGTGAGGTGGGAGATGATCACAAGATCTGTTTGCATCCCTAATCCGGCAGTTCCCCAGTGGTACTCAACTGCATCCAAAGGATGCTGAGCTGAGACCAAATTTATTCCATCCTAATGGAGCAGAGAAGGAAGTCTCACCATTAGCTCATCCCTTTCCTTCAATGGACCCTCTGTCGCCTAAGATCCTCTTTCCAGGATCATTGCTCCTTCCTGTTCTCCTCCCTGCTGTTCAAGATGAAGATGCCAATGGACAGGCAACAGCTCATCTTGCTCCTCACCATCAGCCTGATTTTCTTGCCAGGACGAGTTCATGTGTTCAGCACAGTAAGGGTGCCTTCTTTTAGGGCAGCTGCTGGGGTGGAAAAGCACCCGGCACTCCTTAGCCAAGCTTGGCTGAAGCCTGGCAGCTGTGTCTCTACTCACCTTCAGCCCAACATGTTACCTTTAAAGCTTACCATTTTCCTGAAAGCATCACTGTGGATTTCACTCTCTATATCTTCTGAGGCAAAAGATTCCATTAGGCAACCTCTAATCACAGCATTTATCAGCTCTCCTGCCTCATGGCTGTGAAACTTGGACCTCGTACAGGACCAAGACACAGGGCTGAATGCCCTTGGCAGGTCAGGATTTTACTGGGATGCCAACAAGTCAAAAAACATGTAGCTGCCCTGAAAATAGCTTACTGCACTTTTCCTATAATGCTTGTCTCCAAAACGAACAGGGAATGAAGAGAAAAATGGATGGGGGAGAGAGAGAGTGTCCTGTGTTTCTTGGATGGTTCAACAATTTCAGTGACCAAATGGGGGTTTATACAAGGTCCTGACCTCAGCCTTAGCTTCCCTTCTTACCAAAAGCGGTAAGGGTGCCAGTGACCCTGAAGTTCAGCTGGCTGTTCATCTCCTGGGCTTGTTCTCCAAAGTCCAGTAACCAGAGTGAAGGCAGCCTTTGAAATTCAATTTCCCGCTTGCAGCTAGATACAGAGTATGTGTACGTTAGAAGGATTGTTTTGTTGCTGCGAAATGCCAGCTGCTATGAAAAGATACAGAGGCATCCAGCATCGCAACGGAGATGGGAGAAGAAACAAAGGTGATGGAAGAAGGAACAACATCCAAATGGGAGGAGAAAATTCACTGTGTGGGTCCTCTCCACCCTGACATTTCCCAGCT